TGGCGATGAAGGGAAGGATACTGGAGAGAGAGGAAGGAGAGGGAGGAGGAGGAGGAGGAGGAGGAGGAGGAGGAGGAGGAGGAGGAGGAGGAGAGGAGATAGGGGGAGACAACAGCTTGCTCCTGACCATGGCGGGAAGAAGGGGAGGGAAAGGCGAAAGAGAGGAGAGCAGTGGAGCAAAGGAGGAGAGGTCAGTGGCCTTGGGACAAGCCAACGTTGTTCCCTACATGGCGGCGAAGTATCATCTGTACAGCGAGGAGCGACCCTCTCCCAACTGCTCCTGCCTGCACCTCCTGCATGCAGACGGGCGAGCATGGCATCAGTGTTCGAGGAGGATTATGGAGTTAGAGGATCCAGCGCCTTGCTTCGCTCATCCCGCCAACCTCGGGGAGGAGGAGCTTCACCTGGTGTGCTATCGCATGCTCAAGACTGCAAGTCGCCTCCAGCCATCTGCCAGGGTCCATCACGACTTGGCGGTGCTCGTGCTCAAATTCCATGAACACCTCGATGTGTCGCTCACCCATGCTGTCAGCCATGCTCGCACCGCCTTGTCCAAGGGGCTGGAGGACCCGAGGGACGCGTGGCTGGTGCTGGCAACGAGCTGGGACGAGATGCGTCTGCCGAGAAGAGTCATCATGGCGCTCAGACGGTACCTGGACTTGAGCTGCAGTGGCGGGGACTGTCGGGGGGAGTTTGTAAGGGACGTGGTGCTGGACTTAGCGCGGTTGTGTCAGACTCGATGCGCGTGCTGGGAGACGTACAGGGAAGACCAGCTGCTGCTGCGAGCAACAGTCAAGTCTGAAGTATCGACCTGCGGCAAGAATGGAGGGGAAGCAACGGAGAGGATGGAGCAGAGGCTTCAGCCCTGGTTTCTGACGCTGTTCCCTCTAGCCCCCGAGGACGATCTGGGGAGCAAGAGGTGCCTGTCACGCAGACTGGCGGGGCAGATGAAGAGAGGAGGAGAGGAGTTGATGAGTGTAGGGCTGCCGGCGCTCGCTCCCATGGCGGGGAGGAGAGTTGTGTTGGGGTACCTTTCCAGTCACTTCACCCGGACCAGCTACCACGGGCTGATGAACGATGTTTTCAGCCGGCACGACCCGAGACGGTGAGGGAGGGGAGGAGCTGAACTTGTGCGAGTGACGAGCGGGGCAGGTTCGAGGTGAAGTACTTCGCGTGGAGTATGCAAGACAGGAAGGAGGAGGAGGCAGCACACAAGGGACTGACTGCTCTTGGACAGGAACCGTCCGTCTAGACCTGAGCTGCAGACGGCCATCGTCCCCTGCAACAGCACCCATCACCGCTTCGTCCTCCTCCCCCAGCTGGGCTCGTCCTGGGACGCGGCTCGGGTGATCAACGGTGAGAGGATTGACATACTTATCGACCTGCTCGGCCACCTACCCGTCCCCGAAGCTCGCAGGGCTCGAGAGGTTTCCCAGCTCCTTCCGAGGAGGCGCATGGAGCTTGACAGCAGCTGGGGCAGGTCGTCGCATTCGCCCCGAGCTCAACGGTGATCAACGCGGAGGGCTTTCATGGGACGACAGGAGACGACAATGTGCACTACAACCTCGTCGACCGTCACGTCGCTCCTCCTGAGCTCCGCTCGCTCTACTCGGAATCCTTCCTCATGGTGAGGCTCTGTTGAGATCGGCCCCCTCCTCCCCAGATCCCAACTGTCCTGGTTTCCCTCCCCTCCTCCTCCTCCTCCTCCTCCTCCCTATCCTCCATCTTCACCTCGTCTTCCTCCTCATTATCTCTTTCGCTGCTTTTGCTTTCGTGTCCTCCACTGTTCCAACCTGACTCTTGCACTCAAGATCAGCACATCCTTCCATGTCAACTCGCACGCCGCAAACTTCCCACACCTCGCAACGGATGGAGCTCTGCTGGACTGCCGAGCACGTGAGAGACTCTTCAATCTTTCCCAGCTGATGGTTGTCAACCGCCTGTCATAATTCCCACAGGTGGCAGTCCCGTGGAGAGATCGGGGGCAGCTGGAGGGGGGAGGCGAGCAGACGTCGGGGTACCGCATGAGTACTTCAAGATGTGAGGCTGGTGGGTCAACGGCCCGGCTGACTGCGTCCTGCCCTTGCAGAGACCCACCGATCCTGTGCTGCTGGCTGGGGCTCATCGCGCGGATGAGGACGAAGGGGGTGGAGGTTTCCCTCAACTTCCAGCAAAAGGTCCACCACGAGGAGGCGATCGAGAACCTCGTCTCCTCCGCTGGACTTTGCGGGTTGAGGGGAATGAGGGACTCCCTCCGGCTACTCGAGCCCCAGCCGACTCAGCTGGACTACCTGAAGCTGCTCTGCTCGGTGAGAGCGTCCTAGTGAGCTAGTCAGCGTCCTCGTGACCTGGTCGTGCTGCTCAGATGTCGCTCATGCTCGACACTCCTTCCTTCAACGCTCACACGACAGCCGTCGATGCTCTCTGGGCTGGCCTCCCCCTCCTCGCCGTGCCGCAGATCCGAATGGTGTACTCCTCCCCTTCCTCCCCCTCCTCCTCCTCCTCCTATTTCTCCTCCTCCTCCTCCTCCTATTCATCGCCGTTGTCAGGCAAGCAGGGTGACCGCCTCCATGCTGCTATGGTCCAACATGTCCGTCCTAGTCGCACGAGACCTGGTCGACTACTCGAGGACGGCAGAGAAGCTCCTGGGTAAGCGTGTGAGGCTAGGATAGCTGGGAAGGAGGAGGGGAAGAAGAGGAGGAGGTGGAGAAGAGGAGGAGGAGGGAAGGAGACGAGGAGGTAGGGAGGAGGAGGAGGATCTGAGATTTCCCGCAGGCTACCCAGATAAACTGTGAGCATGTCGGTTGTCATAGTATCAGACTTGATGACGATGGTGCAGGGCGTGGGTGCGGCAGAGCTTGAAGGATCAGACGAGGGACGGGGAGGGAAGGGGCAGGAGACTCTTCAACGTGTCCGAGTGGGTGACTTCCTTGGAGACAGGGTTGTTGATGTTGTTTGAAGTGCAAGGGCTGATGGGGAGGGAGGGGAGGAGATATGAGATTGTTGTACATTAAGAGCTGTACATGTGACCTCTGCTATGAGTCATGAATAAACTGAATGCATGCGGCATGATAATGGAAGAGGGCTACACGTGTCAGGAGACAGTCCTGTAGAGCGGCGTCCTTGGACATGAAGGCGATCTTGGATCTTCTATGAAGGAGCTTTTCATGAGATTGAACGGGCGGATGTTTTCAGCATCGTTGGAAGTCAGACACACCGGAGTTCTGACTACCGAAGGGGACCGAGGGTCCTGAAAGAGCTGGGGAGGATGTTTCTTCTTAGTGCTGCTAGTGATTCCCTCCTTTCCTCCTTCCCTCGAACGGTCTGCTGCCATGGAGTCAGAACCTTGGAGGTGCAACAAAGCTCTACCGTTTGCTCGCTTGTTCTGTTTGCTGCTAAATGAATTCCCCATGTTGTTTTCAGACAAGCTGGCAAAGAGTCACCGACGGAGAAGAAGCACAAGGCGACGAGGGAGAGGAAACGTCAATGGAACGAGCTAGAGAGAGGAGCCCAGGTAAGATGATGGCGTATACATGCTCAAAAAATATCATCATACTCCATACAAGAGTCAAGAATATATCGACTTAGATAGATGTCACTTAGAATTCAGACTCACGAATACAATCGTTGCATTACCTCCTCATTCAAATCCTTTCCCCCAACTCCCCTCCCCTCTCACCCCCTGCTTTCTCACACTCTACCCTGTAGTTCCAAGTCTTTCTTTCTCATTTTCTCCATCTCTCTTCTGTTCCTCCTCTCTCTTCTGTTCCTCCTCTCTCTTCTGTTCCTCCTCTCTCTTCTCTCCCTCCTCTCCCTTCTCTTCCTCCTCTCTTGCCCCTCTCCCGCTTGTATCCTCGTCTGCCGTTCAAGCTACCTCGTTTCAAAAAACTTTGTTACACGCCTCGGTAGGGTATGAGGGTGCAACCCTACTATTAGTAGGACCCTACCCTCTTTCTCAAAACAGCCATTGTTGTACCCTACCCTCTATTTTCAGACCAAATGGCATAAAATGACCCCTGGGTAACCACCCCTCCTACCACCCTGCTGTAGGAAACCGAGAAGGAAAAGTTCCAGCAAAGCGGACGATGGCTGGTTGGCTCGAAGGAGCGACAACGACAACGAGAAGAAACATGGGGCATGGCAGAGCTCAAGCTACCTATGACAGCATGCGAAAAACGTAGAAGTGCAACATCAGTCCGGTTGTGCGTGTGAGAGTTGGTTCATGCGGTATCATGGAGTGATTCAAAGAGAGAGTTAGAAGAACTTGTCTCCGAACCTGAGTTGAAAAAGTCCAGGACGACAAGAGAACATCCATCCGGGATCTGATGAGATGATGGGGCTACGAATCTAATCAAGATCAGCAGGAGAACGCGAACACGGTTATCAAGGTCATGAGAGTCAGCAGAGTCACGAAGATGGTCGTCAGAACAGCAATATACAAGAGTAGCATGCAGACACGTCATAATACCAGGCAAAGAGGGGAACTCTGTCGTGTTGAGCTCTGCAGAGCTACTTTTGTGCCTTACAAGCATGCTACAGATACAAAAATGAAGCTCTTGAAGCGAAAGTCACGCAATCAGGTAGTATATTGAATTCCCTCTCCCACGTCTCATCCCACCAATTTCTCCTCCCCCTCCTTCCCTTTCTCTGCTAATTCCCACCCCCCCTCCTCAAACTCTGCATATTCAATCGCTCAAATCTACCCCCTATTCCGAGGTCCAGTCGTGATGACCTTGGTCGTCAGCATGTCAGAAAGGTCTTTTCTCTCCCTCCCTCCCTCCCTCCCTCCCTCACTTCCTCACTCTATTTACACCTGCCTCGACTAACAGGTTTGGTTTCCTCAGTTAAGTTCCAGCAAAGACAACTTGGCCTTTGCTTCGCCCTCTCAGGGGGAGGGAAGGAGGAGGACGAGAAGGAAAGGACCACCTACTCAATTGGGTATGGCCGGACAATTGAAACTGGCCTTTGTGTGCTGCTTGAAATGTCTTGATGTTAGTTGCTCTGTCAGCCGACAGCATTGCTCTGTAAGAGTTCATCGTTTTGCATCCAACGCATACACCAGGTCAGGTCCGATTGCTCAACGTGGCTCCAGGGCAGTCGATCGACTGCATACCGACCACACTGTCGAGCGCTGTCAACGAACTTAAGCATCATCACTGTGAAACAATATTCGGGCAACCGCGTCGCCGCCCACATAGAAAGCAGCTCGTTCAGTGCCTTGATCACTCCGAGCTTAGTAAGTTGACGATTGCCCGACCTAGACTTTCTTCTTGCATCTCTGTCGTTGAAATGGAAGCACTCGGATCGTTGAATTCCATTACCGCACCTGGTCCAGTCCGTACTGTATCCGGACTGTATCCGACATTCATAGTCAGTGACTGTGACCACGATCAGCCCTTTTTGGCAATTATGCTCACATGCAGCTGAGAAAGATCACAATCGAGACCTTTCTTATGTCACTCACGATGTCACAAGTCAAAGTGAAGTTACCGATCAGTGCACATGTCCACATCTCCCACAGTTACGTTGCACACGGCGTTTGTAATGGCAGAAAGAAAATACAAAGTAAGGATTTGACCTTGGCATTTATTGAAGTCACTAAGAGATTTTAGCGACGAGACAGCAGAAGACAAGCAACTTCATGGCTGCGAAGCTACAATTTTTTTCAAATGTCCCACCTCGACTCTTTGACTTGGTGTAGAATTATAATACAATGCAAATGAGAAAGTTAGCTTTCTCTCTTATGAATAAAGGCTGTTCTCCAAATACTCGAGGGCTTCTTGGAAGAGCGAAGCGGATCCAATAGCAAGGTAGTAGCGGCTCGAAACGCCTTGGTCATGGTTGGAATCGGACTCTTCATCACTAGTGGTAGAGTTCTCTGAGTTCTCTGCCATGGTGTCGTCACTCGCTTCAGGCTTGGAAGATCTCTTTTTGCCTTTCCCACATCTCTTCCTGGAGTATGGCCAACGAGGCAGGCCTATCCTCCTGCAACCGCTCTTCAAGGCCGTGAGCGAAATCCCAAGATGTTTGGCCACTTCAGATTGCCTCATGTGGAAGAAAGTAGATACGAATTCCATGGTGAGAGTGACTTCGTCGTTCAACTTGTCATCCCCGCCGCGTTTCTTGCGAGGGATCACTTGTACAATCGGAACTCTTTCACTGACACGGGATGGTGTGCTGCTAGAATGCTCCACTGAATTGAAATACATGCTCGCCATATGTAACAAGTGCAGAACAGGCTTGACTAGAAGAAAATCAAAAAGATTGAGAAGAAGCTTCGTGAATCGCAAGTCGAGTTGTGGGCGCGATAGAGGAGGCAGAGGTGGAGGGGGTTTTTAGGGAGCGAGGTGCGCTAAGAAGTCGAGGGGAGAGGAGGATAAAAGTGGGGGAGAAGCCTAGAACAGGGATTCTCTAGTAAAGGGCTATTGAGACGGATGTCAGGGTGGGGTACTACGATAACCCCATTTATCCCTGCAAACTGGATCTATTAGGGGTGGGTAGTGATTCGACTGTTTCAGAATTCTAGTGGTGGGTCAGTAGTGAGAGCCTTCTTGGAGTCGGAGTGAAAGTGTGGTAGTAAAAAATTGGGCTTGTTGGGGGGTACGCCTAAAGGGGCAAGAGGGGGGTAGTGAGAAAGGTCGGTGCAGGTTTCAAGTATCACGGACTCCACCCTGTCTCTCCAGTGACCTCATGTCCTCGTGACTCCTGTAAGGCCCCCACCAACCTCTTAACCCCTTCAGGATCAGCTAAAATTGAAGTTTTAAAGGACTGAACTATTCCCGTAAGGGTCGAAGGAGGTAGATACGTACGTCCTCGTGATTTCAGTTATGATGCTCCTGAAAAAGAGCGATAATACATCGTTCCGGGTCTTGGGTAGCTCAAACGTTGAGATCTAAGAAGCCAGAACGACCCTATAAAATTCGACGCGTAACTGCGCCCATGTGACCGACGGGCATCGCAAGTTTGACGAGTTGCGGTACTGTTCCTTGACGGTTTCATAACCGTTATCATTCGATAAAATCAATTGCCCTTGCGGAGGTCAACTCGTGACAGCTCCAACGTGGGGAGGATATCAACCGTGACCATTCCCCCACTGCCCTGTCCTTACAGCCTCCACGCGGCGTACCGTGCCGTGACGACGGTGCCCGGCCATGACATCGGACGCGGCCGCTCTCCGGAAACTCGGGAATTGAAAGAGTCGCAACCGTCGAGCCCGGCGGCCTCGGAGGCTCATCAGGCCCTGAACCCTGAGGCCGAGTCCGGGGCGGCCGGACCCGGACTGACACGGTCCCGGAGCCTGAGTCCGGGCCGCCGGGCCGCCGGGCCGGGCAGCGGCGCTGCACGGTGCCAGGAACTCCGAGTCCGACGGTCTGATCGGACCGTTTCAGCCCTCAGGCCCTAGCCGACGGTCCGGCTTGCTAAGGTCCCCAGGCTCATGTCTGGACTCCGGGAGGCTTGGGTTTCACATCCTGAGCGTACAGTCTATTTCTCATGTGCTCCTCAATTCTGGTTTTGTGCGTCCGATCTTGCCAACGGTTACCATGACGGACCGTCGGTGGCAACTAAGGTACGGTCGATGTGATATCTCCGACGGTAGTGCGTGAGTACAAGCCTGAGTCTAACAAAGTACAAGTCAAAGCCAAACTTCTCACGATTCCGTCAGGCCCGGCGGGCCCGGGCGGTGTGAACCGGAACGGCGTGCTGCCGGGCCCGGGACCGCCGGCACTGTCCGCCGCCCGGACTGTATCGGACGGTCCGATCCGACGCCGGTCAGCGGCACTCGGAAGGCCCCGGCACGTCGGGCCAGCCACTCCGATTCAGTGACCCCGGCGGCAATTGACAGACGGCAATGATAGTTGGTTTTTTTATTCGAGAAGCACGAGAGGGAGAGGTGCAAACTGAAGGGGTGGGGGTCCTCAAGAATATGTTTTGTACCCCATTCAATCAACTTATAATAACCCCTCCATTATCGATTTATTTGTCTAGGGGTGGTGAACCCCGACCACCCCTACCATATCACGTGCTCATATTCCACCATGCTCATATTCCACCCACCATGGTCGTGGTGCAAGATTTTGTGGGAAAAGAGCGGTAGGGGTCATGACCCACTTCCAGTTCACCCTGTCTGCCCTTCGCGAAGAATTCAGCAATAGCTCCAGACTACCCCCTTGTTTCATCCACCCACCCCTACATCTTTCTAGTTTTGAGATCCTTATTGATTATCTATTTGGCTGAATTAGGAAATCTCACCTATATACCCCCAAAGTGTCCTCTACACCCCTCTTCGAGTACCCACCCACCAAATTGACAAACCCACCCCTCCTATTTCAATTCATTTTCAAAGTTCCATTTCCCGCCCTCGAGTACCCCCACCCCACCGTCTCACCACCCCAGGTTTTCTCTGCCTGCTCAACTGAAGAACACACGACCCCATCCTACCTCTCTGAATCTTTTTCTACCCCTACTGTTCTCTCCAGGACCCGTACATCCAATAATTTCACCCCTTATTATAGGTAAACTTTATGTTTAAAAAGGGGTGGGTACTGGAACATATATTTCAGTGGACCAACATCACACCCCCGTGACCAAGGAGTACCCCACCACCACAACTACTACCCGTACTTCGAAGACTCAGCAACGACCCCCACCCACCCCTCACAGCACGCTGCGCCGCGATAGTCAGAAGAGCGGCTGCGATGGCGGACGGGGAAAGGGAGGAGGAGCATGATGGGCCTGAGGAAGACGTCGAGGCAGAGGCACAAGTAGACTTCAAGCCTCTCATCGAGGTAAGAGCTCTGACCTGCTGGTTGACGGGCGGGAGGGCGGGAGGGCTGGAAGGAGAAGGTTGTGAAGGAAGCGGTAGAAAGAGGGTTCTTGTGTAGGATCCCGTTCGTAGAGGGTTCACAATGCAGAGAGGGTGTTGGAATGCGTGTTTGGTAAAGGTTCGGATGACTAGTACGAGGTGAGAGGACTTGAAATGTTTGTTAGCGCACGAGAGGAGCAGAGAAAACGTGGAAAGAGACAGGTGTCAGTTCGAGTTGCAGCCAAGAGGATCACGAGAAGCGATCGAGTGAATGTGTTTCGATGGGAGTGTTGGTGCGAAGAGACATGCAATGTCTTCAGGACTTTCTGTATAGCGATCCACACAATGGTGTGCGAAGGGAGCATGGCTTGTGCCTTGAGTTGTTCGGTTGGTACAAAAGTTCATGCTTGGGTTCGAATCGCTGAGGGCTTGCGTGTTCAAGAGCGATACGCTCAACTATTTAATTGTTGTCTTCTGGGACTCTCAGTGTTCCTTCCATGTGCAGCAAGAACAAATGTAGACAGCTGAGGGATGTTTGGTGGGATCGAACTTGTTTGTATGTTATTTCTTCGAGGAGCTCTTGGTTAATCGATCGCTCCTTGTTTCTGTCCCATCACATGTTCGCTGCAACTGCTGAAATTCTCGATCTTGTCTGTTCAAACGTTGACTGTCCCTGATGTCCAGCTTCCCCCCGAAGTTCAGACCAAGACTGGAGAAGAAGAGGAAGATGTTATTTTCAAAATGTACACCCTCCTCTCATGGTAGATTTGCCGGGTTCCATTTCCTGATGCTCGTCTGCCAGGCGAACAAAGATGTTCCGCTTCAACGAACCAAGCAAGGAATGGAAGGAAAGGGGAACGGGCGATGTTCGCTTCTTGAAGCACAAGGAGAGTGGGAAGGTGAGGATTGACGTCAAGGACGATGACTGGTTGACTGTAGCCTCAGATTCGTGTGCTCATGCGCGCTGAGAAGACTCTGCGAGTTAGGGCAAACCATCCCTGTGAGCCCTGAGACGTGAGTGGTGGAGAATTGACGAGCGTGCTCCCCAGTGTCCACCAACCTGGAGTTGAAACCTCATGCGGGAAGTGACAGGTGAGGTTCAGGAGGAGGAGGATGGAGGAGGAGGAGGAGGATGACGTGGCTTGTAGAGCCTTCACCTACTTCACCCCTGACTGGAGCGAAGACCCTGAGACCGGAGTTGTGGAGCAGAAGAACGAGTTGTTTGCCTTCCGCTTCGCCAACGCTGAGAGTGAGCCAAATGCCTCCTCATGGTGTAAGCTGACCAGCAGCGGCAGGTGCAAACAAGTTCAAGGAAGCGTTCGAGAAGTGCAAGAAGGGCGATACAGCTGACATGACCGTGATCAAGCAGGACGCAGAGGATGCTGAGAAGGTGAATGGTGAAAGGGTTTGACAGGCAGGTTGACTGTTGCTGACAGGCTGCTGAGAAGAAAGAAGACAAGAAGGAATGAAAGATTGATAGTTGATGTGTTAACTTTGCTTTGCATGAGGACATGGCTTGAATGCATTATTGATTTCCCATGTTCCCCACACAACAGTCCTCGCGATGATCGCGTCGCGCTTATCTTGGTTTCATCTGTCACCCTCGTTTGCCTTCTGGATCATCATGAGATTCGCGACCTGTCAGAGGGTCAGAGGAGGGACAGGAGGGAAATGTTGCGTCACAGGGGCGCGGACGATGCTCTTAGTGACCTGTGACCGTCAAGTTACACAAAACAGCGACCAACGGAGGGGGAAAGAATGAGAAGGATAGGAAGGAGCGATAGGAAGGGAAAGAGGAGGAGGACATACAAAGAGTTGCAAGGAGGGATGCAGGGCAACAGAGGAGGGACCTTCATGTCGTCTCGCAGGAAAGTCACATTCACGATCGTTTCTTCCTCGCCAAGGAGGCAGGAGGAGACATGGCTGAGAGGACAGCGATAGACGACTGTATTGTCGACCTGGTACAGAACGTCCCCTGCTTGTATGCCCCCAGTGACGGCCGCAGGACCTGTACAGACTTAGGCAAGGGAGGAAAGGGCAAAGGATGCGGGGGGCGCGAAGAGAGAGTGCGAGGGGAAAGGGGGAGAGGGAGGCTGAGAGGGGCAACGAACCTCCTGGGATCAAGGAGCTGACGAGGAGTGCACCGGTGCTGTCTGCTCGGAAGTTGACGCCAATGCCGCAGAGGTTCTTCTTGGTGAAGGAGAGAGTGTTGGTTCCGAGCTGCTGCTGGCTTGCAGGCTCTCGGTCCTTGTCGCTCCTGCAGTCACAGCAGAACATATTTGAGGGGGGAGGGCCGAGAAAGTTTGAGGATTGTGCGGCCTACGATGAGGTTCTTCTTGCCTGAGAAGTGTATTAGAGGGAGGAGGAGGAGGAGGAGGAGGAGGAGGAGGAGGAGAAAACAAGGAAGAGTTGGGGCAGAGATAGGATCGTAAAGGAAAAAAGGGAGAAGAATGGGGAGAAGAGAATTTCGAGCTTTCAGGGTGAAATGAAAGGAAGGAGCGAATACTTCATTTTACCTTCTCTGCAACTTTAGTTGACTTGTCCCTCTACTGCAAACTCATCCTGCTGTCCAAACATTCTCGTCAGAGCCACATCGATGTCCAGCTACATATCACGCGATCTGCTTCCCTACCCTTGTCCTCTACCCCCTCTTCAACACCCTCTTACATAATATCTCATGATGCAGACTGGCGTGTAGCAGGCAGGAACAAGAGTGAAGATCTCAAGGGGGTACGCTAGAATGTGCATGCGAATCATGAAGAGCAGAAAGGGCGGGAGGGGGATGAGAGGACAAGGAGGATGGAGGAGGGGAGGAGGAGGAGGATATGAATGCTCTGAATGGTTCTCGTGGGGAGCAGGGAGGACAGGGAGAATGATATCGAAGGAAAGGGAGGATGATATCGAAGGGGCAGGAAGGGTGGAGGAGGAGGCAAAGAAAGAGAAAGACGCTTACGAGGGGGGGGGGGGGTGGGGGGGGGGCGAGTAGTT